GATATAATTAGGCAAGATATTAGGCAAGTCTCAAATGCTTCTGCTGTCCACCTATCTAAGATCAATTTAATTCACTGTTCAATTAAAAGTTCCTTGATTGATTGCCTACACTCACCCAATAAGGCTCATTTCAGGGATGTCTGTGAGTGATTAATGAAGCAGGAGTTGAACACAAAGAATACTCTGTCTACCAAAATGTGTTACCTCCACAAAGCCATAAAAACAATTCTTCCTTTCTGACTACTTCATGGCAAACGGGTCTCTAGTACCATCGGTTTCTGTCATTTATGACTTTCAACAGCTAACAGCTGTTTCTGACTTTGTTGTGCTTTTTTAGCTATGTACAAATCTGAGTAGACCTCCATAACCCATATCTTAATGGAAAATAATTAACAATTATCTAGAAGTAAGTAATATTAATATTATAGATGGCACAAAGGTCTTCAGAGTTTGAGGACTGAGGATCAGGCAACCTGGATCTTCTTGTAAACCAGGCTCATTCAAATACAGCCAAATGCATTCAGGAATTATTGAGGCTTATCCTCGAAGTAAAGTGTAGAAAACAACCACAAAAATGGCTTGGAGGCTGGGCAAAGCATCTTGCTATGATAACAAGTCTGTGTAATGAGTTAAGATGCACTGTATAATGTGCGTAGCCTAAAGCTCAAACTTCTTTGTAGATGCTGCCCATTCAGATTTTAAATAGCCATGGCATAATTTTAGAAAGATTAAAGGCTTTGCCAAAACTATTATTTCCTGAATTAGCATCCTCACCAAGTTTTAATGCGATTCTATTAAACAGTTCATATCTTGGTTAATTCATATTACCAATTCTTACTCTTTCTCTGTGTGTAAGCCTTCTGTACCAAATTATTTAATCTACATTTAAAAAATAAAGAATACCAAAGATGGTATGATCATGGTACACAACTGCCTTGAGGCAAAAAGTGAAAAATACTGAAAGCGTCTCCAATATAGCGAAAAGAAAGATAAATAGAAGTAACATCTGAAAGTTTAATTCACTATATTCACATTAGAAACAAGACACTGGTTTAAGCAAGGGATTAATCACTGGAACGGGTCCCTGTAGGGAAGAGTGAATTCTCCATCTTCTGAATATATCAGATCTAGACTGGATATCTAGTAAAAAATTTCCAAGAGTCAAACAAATCGTAGGAACCAAGAAGTGGAGGGCAACAGAGACATGGGGCTCCTGAGCGCAGCAGTCCCCCGCTGAAGGGAAGCGTGCCACAGGACCCCCTCCACACCACTTCTGAGCTCCGCACCAGAATAACTGAATTCAAATACATGGATGGTATTTAACAGGAGCTCAGCCTAGATGACATGGGGGTTTTATTGCAGTCTACTAATCTATGAAAGTAACCATTTTCAGTATGATAGAAATGGCAGAAGAGATGAAGTCTGAACCACATTCACAGTCTGTATAACTATGTTCTGCCGTTACTTGAACAATGAAAATAAAGACTATAAATTAATCCATAGGGTGAAAAACCACCGCTTTCAATTAGATAAAAAGTAATTTATGGTGGTATCAGGAATTTTGATTTTAAAAGTTTAAGCTGCAGTACAAGACTCCACCACATTGCATTATATTGTCTGACCATAACAGAGTAATTCCATTATAGTCAGATGTTTTATGGACATTGCAGTATAATACAAGCTTTGTTGAAGCCCAAGAGCAGTGTTAGAACAATACTAAACAAATAGCAGGCACCCCATTAAAGGGAAATAGGGATTCCAAACGTTTTTCTCATCTGCAAATTGCAAGAAAAATAAAAATTAATTTTATCCCACGTTAATTGTATGTCACTAACTAGCAAAATTTGCCTTTTGTGAGAAGGTCCCAAACTCAAAGAATTTCACATAAAATGCAAAGAAACCCAGTTTCAACTATTTTTAGCTTGAGAGTATGTATGTATTGAATGAAGTATAAATCTTGACATTTTTCTCTATCATGAAAGCTAAACATTAAATTCAAGAATAATAATTTTAAAGTTGTAATTTATATAGCCAAATAGCCTCCTGCTATGTTCAAGGATGCTGTGGAAAATACAAAGCTGACACTCAAAAGCTGTGTTTGAGAGTTTAAGGGAATAACAGCAAAGTTTTCAGAAGTTTAGAAGCTGACTTTTTTAAAGTTACTGTTTGAGGTTTTTTTCACTATCCATTGTTGCCATAACATCATGATTTTTATTACTGAAGAAAAAAAATCCCATAGAATAAGCTTACTTTGCACACTTGACTGATCTGTGTATAGCCTGCTTCATAGAAAAATACAGAATATACAGTTGTAAAATATACAGCTGTAAAATGCATCTATATTTTACATATAGATGTGTGTCTATATTTTTCAAAATAAGTTTCAAAATAATTGTTTCACATAGCCATAAAGCACAAAAATTGAGAGGGAAATGGAGGACCTGAAACATTCTTTTAATTTCAAATGCCGTTATTGTCTTTAGTCCCTTTTTCGAATCCGTTAGATCTACTGTGTACCATTTAGAGGCAAGGGCATTTACAAAAAAGCCAAGATGGACCCAAATTTTGTATGCTAATTCTTTTCTCTCTTGTTGGCTATTTCAAAGTGTTTTTCAAATACAGGATGACACACTAATTGCTCAAGCTGAAAATTGCTTCTCAGTTCATAATTTTCCATTAGTAGCTCTAAAAGAATTATCTTCCTTGTCTTACCATGGCAGCTCTAAGGGATTTTAACCCATCTGATATCATTAGCAAGCACTGTATTTCCTTTTGGCCAAGAAAGAGTTCCCTACTTTTCTCTCATTCATCAGGCTAAACTAAACAGGTAACTGTACAAGCTTTTCAAAACCCCCTATACCTATTGTAATACCACTTTTCCTCATTCCAGATACATGGCCCATTAGTATTCACAAGTGCCTTCTAATTTTTAATCTGATCATGATGCTCACCTGAAACGTTGTACTAATCTCTCAAGGGGTATCTACTGCTCAACTTTTTCCTTTTTTTTAAACACAGCAGAACTGTATTTTAACTTGCGAATACATATGTATCTTGCTGTTAAGCGATATGCACAATACTGTACTGCACAAAATTCTTTTATAGTAGAGCCTGTGAGAGCATGGCTGCATTCGTAAGTTAGGGAGCAACGTACTATGGAGGTCCTACCACAGCGACAGCTGACCCGCCCTTTCCTCCAGCTCCCAAGCCCTGTCGCACAGCCATCCTTGGCAGGCAACAGCAGCACTGCAGCCTGAGCTACTGCAAGGGCAAAGCTCATTACCTGCCATACAGACTTGCAGCCAGCTGAAAGCCAGCCTGTGCCATTAAAGGCTAGATTTAAATGATCTGCAGTTTCTAAATTGGCCAAGTAAAGTTAAAATATTTTTTACTAAAACAGGTTAGGTAATTACCTTGAACAAAGTAAAAAATCACTGAACCTGAAGCTGGCTAAAATGCATTGCAGCCTAAATTTTCCAGATCTTATCACTATGGAAATAATTCAGTTAAGAGCGGTTTGAGTCACACTTCACTGTA